GGGAGAGAGAGAGGGAGGGAGAGAGAGAGAGGGAGGGAGAGAGAGAGGGAGGGAGAGAGAGAGGAAGGGAGAGAGAGAGGAGGGAGAGAGAGAGAGAGAGGGAGAGAGAGAGAGAGAGGGAGAGAGAGAGAGAGGGAGAGAGAGAGAGAGTGAGAGTGAGAGAGAGAGAGAGCAACAGCAGTAACACAACGGGTGAACACTGGTATCAGATCTCCCAGCAAGAGGTCTACTGATGACACCCACACACACACACACACACACACACACACACACACACACAATCACTCCAGCAACGTGCTAAACAATTCACTAGTCCAGCACATTCACAGCAACACTAGAGCGAACAATCTACGTCACTTGGTGTTGGGGAGCAGGACTACCAAGGCCGCCACAATAGTCTACTCGTCTACCACCAAGTAACAACTTCACTCTACTAGAAAACGAAAACAAATAAATCATTAGAAAACGAGTCATTAGTGAGCTCAAATGACTGGTAAACTTAAACAAATTTGTTTGAATTAATGGAGACTATCTCGGTCTTTACACATAGAAGTATACCTCACTTCTAAGTGAATAAATCCTGAAAGTTTACTTTAGACCTGTACTGTGTATACTGGACTACAGTATACATACTTGTTGGTCAGTAAACTGAGGTTGATAGACCTTAGGAACCTTCTAAAAGTTGATAGACCTTAATAACTCTAGAGAGGTTGATAGACCTTAAATTAATAACCTTCCAGAGGTTGATAGACCTTAATAACCCTCCAGAGATTGATAGACCTTAATAACCCTCGAGAGGTTGATAAACATTAATATCCCTCCAGAGGTTGATAGGTCTTAATAACCCTCCAGAGGTTGATAGACCATAATAACCCTCCAGAGGTTGATAGACCATAATAACCCTCCAGAGGTTGATAGACCATAATAACCCTCCAGAGGTTGATAGACCATAATAACCCTCCAGAGGTTGATAGACCATAATAACCCTCCAGAGGTTGATAGACCATAATAACCCTCCAGAGGTTGATAGACCATAATAACCCTCCAGAGGTTGATAGACCTTAATAACCCTCCAGAGGTTGATAGACCATAATAACCCTCCAGAGGTTGATAGACCTTAATAACCCTCCAGAGGTTGATAGACCATAATAACCCTCCAGAGGTTGATAGACCATAATAACCCTCCAGAGGTTGATAGACCATAATAACCCTCCAGAGTTGATAGACCATAATAACCCTCCAGAGGTTGATAGGCCATAATAACCCTCCAGAGGTTGATAGGCCATAATAACCCTCCAGAGGTTGATAGACCATAATAACCCTCCAGAGGTTGATAGACCAATAATAACCCTCCAGAGGTTGATAACCATAATAACCCTCCAGAGGTTGATAGACCTTAATAACCCTCCAGAGGTTAATAACCTAATAACCCTCCAGAGGTTGATAGACCATAATAACCCTCCAGAGGTTAATAGACCAATAATAACCCTCCAGAGGTTGATAGACCATAATAACCCTCCAGAGGTTGATAGACCATAATAACCCTCCAGAGGTTGATAGACCATAATAACCCTCCAGAGGTTGATAGACCATAATAACCCTCCAGAGGTTGATAGACCATAATAACCCTCCAGAGGTTGATAGACCATAATAACCCTCCAGAGGTTGATAGACCATAATAACCCTCCAGAGGTTGATAGACCATAATAACCCTCCAGAGGTTGATAGACCATAATAACCCTCCAGAGGTTGATAGACCATAATAACCCTCCAGAGGTTGATAGACCATAATAACCCTCCAGAGGTTGATAGACCATAATAACCCTCCAGAGGTTGATAGACCATAATAACCCTCCAGAGGTTGATAGACCATAATAACCCTCCAGAGGTTGATAGACCATAATAACCCTCCAGAGGTTGATAGACCATAATAACCCTCCAGAGGTTGATAACCAATAATAACCCTCCAGAGGTTAATAACCAATAATAACCCTCCAGAGGTTAATAGACCATAATAACCCTCCAGAGGTTAATAACCATAATAACCCTCCAGAGGTTAATAACCAATAATAACCCTCCAGAGGTTGATAGACCAATAATAACCCTCCAGAGGTTAATAACCATAATAACCCTCCAGAGGTTAATAACCAATAATAACCCTCCAGAGGTTGATAACCAATAATAACCCTCCAGAGGTTAATAACCAATAATAACCCTCCAGAGGTTAATAACCAATAATAACCCTCCAGAGGTTAATAACCAATAATAACCCTCCAGAGGTTAATAACCATAATAACCCTCCAGAGGTTGATAGACCATAATAACCCTCCAGAGGTTGATAGACCATAATAACCCTCCAGAGGTTGATAGACCATAATAACCCTCCAGAGGTTGATAGACCATAATAACCCTCCAGAGGTTGATAGACCATAATAACCCTCCAGAGGTTGATAGACCTTAATAACCCTCCAGAGGTTGATAGACCATAATAACCCTCCAGAGGTTGATAGACCATTAGCCCAACACTAAACCAGTCTTTAACACCACAACATATACAACTAAAAAATAACATTAATGAACACAAGTTATCGGTGAACTAACACAACATCAGTTTAGAACAAGTAGTCAGTGAACTAACAGTGAACATTATTGAACTAACAAAATTGTTCAGCAAACAAGTCATCAGACAGTGATCAAAGTTGAACTACCTGTTTAAACAAAACTTTCTCAGCTGTAAGAAAAAGCCATCGATCAACGAACGAACTCGTCTGCTTACAAGCTTAACTCATCAGAGACGGAGCTCACCTGTGAGCTCGTTCACCTGTGAGCTCACTCACCTGTGAGCTCGCTCACCTGTGAGCTCGCTCACCTGTGAGCT